TAGCCCAATACAGTTATATCTAAACAGATATTTGATCTCAAACAGATAGTTTGTTCCAAACTTCCAAAGGTGTAAAGTAATACATATTCAATTTCACAATTTATATCAAAGATCATCCAATTTCACATTTTTAATGCCAATTTCAATCATTTATACAAATTAACAATTTGATTCAATTAGGGCAAAAATCCACTTTTTCTAAATACCCAATCCAAGTACCAAAATCTACTATTTCGACACAACAGGAACATATTTTTAGTCCCCAAACTCATTTATTTCATATTTACCAAAAACTCTTCTTTTACATTTCATCCCCAAACCCTAGGTTTGGTCAAATCCCACCAAAATCCCACCATTGTTACACAATAACAAATAACAAAGCTAAAAACCGTATGAGAGTGTAGAAAAATCCCTATCTCAAAGGAAGAAGATGAGCTAAACAATAGAGAAACTCCAAGAACACCGAAACCCATTTCTATTCGGATCAAAATGTAGATCTTGAGGTACTCTAGCTTTTTCTCAAAGACACTAGTGTGGAAATCCCAACGGATCTAGATGAAATCTTAGAGAGAATGTGAGTTTTAGAGAGAGAATGTGTGGATCTAGGTTTTTTTAGGAAGTTTGAGAAAGAGAGAGAGAAGAAAAAGTGATTCAAGATGTCATCTTCACGGACAGTTATACACGCAGTGCACTCGAGCGTAGAAAATGACGCTCGAGCGTCAGACACAAAGGCCCACTCGAGCGTGGAAAGTTATGCTCGAGCATGAAATACACATTTCTAGAAGTTTTGTAGACGAAGGACCCCACTCGAGTGTGGGACTGGACACTTGAGCGTCCAATGCACTCTCATAGTATTTGCAGACTTGCAAAAGAAAATACTGAGAGTTGACAGATCCCGCTCGAGCACAAGAATGGCCGCTCAAGCGGAGGAGCAAAAGTTGTAAAGCCCGCTCGAGCGCAAGAATGCCCGCTCGAGCGGAAGAGCCAAAATCTGGGCATCACAGGCTTGGAAAACCAAGTAACCAACCTGTTCCAAACGCACAAATACAACCCGATAAGCAAGATAGAGAGGAGACAAGTGAAACAAGACATGGATAACCATTCTAAACCATATCAGCCCAAGTCCGGAATACAATAAGTGATGGGTCAAAACCGAAATCGCTATATTTTTTGCTTCCAATTATTTTTCTAGGATATTTTTTGATTCTCTATCACAACATATTACTAGCTTCATTTTTGTGCTTTTAGTAGTTTAATTGATGATATTTATTTAGTAAAATGTTTATTAATATGCTGTGTTAGTAAAATGCTCTGATATTACTGTTAGAAAAATATAGGTTACCTTAGGTGGAAAAACACCCACACAGTAAGATCTGAAAGTTTGAATTACAAGTCTTTCTTGTTGCAAACTCACGTCAATTGAGAGGCTACTAGAGTTTCCCTTATGGAGCTGTTGGAAATTGGGTCGCGTTTAGAATTCAAACCTAATTGGGTCGCCCGTGGTGGCATGACCCGATTAGGAGAGATCCAAATAAAATAATAGATTATATTTGAAGATATGAGATAATCTTGATATGGATAATTGTCAATATATTAGATAATAATTATTAATATGTGATAGATATTATCTGGGATAATACGTCTATCCTATGAGTCTCTTAACTCTCCTACATAAACGGATTTTGGGTTCTGTATTTCATACAACAAAAAAACAATACGTTCTCTCTTCCTATAAACCATTCCGCCTTTGTACTATGAATAGTGTGGGTAGTTCACTAGTAGTGTGAATAGTGTGGTAGTTCACTAGTAGTTCTACTCTACTACTAGGAATTATTCGAAGACATCAATAGAGGCATGTGATTACCCACATGATCCATGGATTCGGTTTGAACGTGACAGTTATGTCCGAATCCGTTTATTCCATTGATTATTATTTCATATTTTTCCTACAAGAGCACACACTCCAAATTGACAAGGTTGTTGATTCTCTATCACAGCATATTACTAACTCTTTTCTGCCTATTGCTTGTTTTCGCCTCTTGATTAGTATGACATTGATTTGTTTATTGTTTATACTATTAGATTGATGTATCATTAATATTGTTTTATATTATGGCATATTCAAAGTTTTTTTTTTGGATAATGCACATACAACAAATTTTTTTGGTACTCAAAAATAGAAAATAAAATTTCATTTTTTGTAAATGAAATTGACATATTTAGATTTTACTCTCCATAAGCTTTTTATTGATATAAAATAGGCTTTAATCGGAGTTAAATTGAAAAATATATGATTTTTCAAATTTTTTGAGTCAAATATGTATTTTTTGCATACATCAGATTTTTTGGTACCCAAAAACAGAAATTAAATTTTGCTTTTTGTAAATGAAATTGACATATTTAGATTGTACTCTCCATAAGATTTTTATTGATATAAAATAGGTTTTAATCGGAGTTAAATTGAAAAAAATATGATTTTTCAAATTTTTTGAGTTAAATATGTATTTTTTGCATAAAGCAGATTTTTTGGTACTCAAAAACAAAAAATAAAATTTCGATTTTTGTAAATGAAATTTACATATTTAGATTGTAGTCTCCATAAGCTTTTTATTGATATAAAATAGGCTTTAATCGGAGTTAAATTGAAAAATATACAAATTTTCAATTTTTTTGAGTTAAATATGTATTTTCACTGCTACAATAATGCTTAAAGATTACACACAAGGAATTAAAAAATCTCACTTTTAGTAGAAGTATGATTAAAAAAATTAGAATGATATTTTAATCACAATTAATCTAATTAAATGAGATAATATTTATTTTTAATCTTACCTTCCAAATAAATTTGATTATATATATATATATTTTTTAATCACAATTTTTATATAAATGTAATTGGATATATATATATTTTTAATTTTATTTTTATATCTCTATAAAAACAACACTATTTTTAAAAATGTTTATATTTATAATTGGTTACAACAGTCAAGATCAATCCATCATCTATACTATTATATTAAGTGAGGCTTGAATTTAGTCTCTTGAAACCTCTACCAATGCTACCACGTGGAATTTATGTGATTTGAAAAAAAAAAAAAAACATATTCCACGTTTGCCACTTTCTTCCTTAATCAACTACCCAATACAATTTCATTTTTCTTCCTCTCTCTCTCTCTCTCTCTCTCTCTCTCTCTCTGTTCTCACATTTCTTGGCTCAAAGCTTTCTCTCTCTACCACTCCCAAATACTCCATGGCTACTGCATCCCCAAAGCTCACTTCCGGAGTCCTCTTTCTCCCTTCGCCGCCGCATTGCCGGAAACTACCGCTATTGCTGCCGTTGCGCCACCTAACCGCCTATCCAGTAAATCCATTAATTTTGATTTCATCCCCAATCTCTCTCTGTAAAATTACGTGTAAGGCTACTGAAGCCTCAGTGGCCGAGGACAAGGGAGGCGGCGGCGGAGGCGGAGGCGGAGTGAGTGATGAGAAGGGGAAGAACTGGGTACTGGTGGTGCCCAGTGGCGGCGTTGTTGAAGGGAGAGCGGTGCGTGATAATTCAGGCTGGGGAGACTATACTGTTATTGTGATACAAAGATGACATCTTTGCAATTGAGAACGGGTCTCTTGCTGAGGGCGCTTACTCTGAAGGCTTGCTCAATGCCAATTTGCGTTTTTTTTTTTTAATGCATGTATATGGTCCATCAATTTATATATGTATGTAAGAATGGATGATGTATGTTGGTACTCTTGCCTTTTCTATATATGAATGTGTATATTAATAGATTCTTCAACCTTACATTAAAAACTTAATTAACTTTAAAATGTGTTTAATTTTGTATCATTTTCAACTTTATCAAACCATAAAGGACTGAGGTGCATTGGGTTTTAAATAGGGACCATTCTTAGTATAAATAAAAAAATAAGTAAAAAAATTGTTTAATTTTTTATAAAATTTCTTTGATTATAAGTGTTATAAGAGTAGAGTTTGTATTTTTCTATTTTATGTATTTTTATGTTTTTATATTATTTTTTTTATAAAAAAATTATATTCAATTTTTTTTGTTCCTATTTCACCTTTTTAAGCTTTTGTTTGTTTCTATATATAAATTTTATTTTGTTTTTATATATAAATTCTATTATTAAAAAATTGATTTGTTTGTTCACGTAACTTTTTTTTGAGTGTCCAGTGCTTTTAATGTTTTTTTTTAATTATAAAAAAATAGTTTTTCTGAGTTTTGGCTATGGTTATTTTTTTTTTTTTTGTTACAGTTGTATAAATCACTTTGATTGTAAGTATTTTAACAGTCTTGGGTTTGTATTTTTGTATTTTGTGTGTACTAATTTAATTGTACTTTTAATTTTCTTCATTAAAAAATAAAAGGAGATGAAAAGTTTCATTATATTATCAAGTTCCTTAGGGAAAAAATTTCACTATTATTTTACTTCGTTTATATCAAAAAAAAATTCAATGTAATTGTTTATATTTCTTTGTATATATCAAATCTATTTGAATATAAATATTCTAAGAATCTTGGATTTATAGTTTTTAAAAAGAATACTATTATTTTATTTTATTTATATCAAAATTATAAGTGTTATTTATTTATTTTTTTAATAAGTTTGTGATGTGTAGTTATTTTTTTAAAAAATAATATTTTTTTTATTTGCACACACATCATGTGTCCGACCGCTAGTAAGTGGTTGTTTGAGATGTTCTAAATAAATGTACTTTTTATCTTTTTAGAATAAAAAATTGAGAAAAAAAATATGGATGTTTGGATTAACTCTTTGACTTTTTATGAGAAAATATGTATTAAAAAATTATATAAATTAGTATGTAGAAAAAAATTAAAATTGAAATTGAAAATTATGCAATCATAATTTTTGACTTTTGATAAATAATGATAATTTTTTAATTTTTTGAATAATTTTTTAACTTTTTGACATCTTACCAAACTTGTCCTACGATTAATGAGTGGTTAACTTGACCTATGTTTACCATCAGGAAACTTCCTACTATTTCTTTCCTCCCAGCACAATCTGTGCCTCGCTCTCTCTCTCTCTCACTTCTCCACCACGACCACAGCAGAAACTTTGCCTCTTCCTTTTCATCGACACCCACACTCCTCACCACCGTCGCTGCTCTTCCCTCCTTAGCGACCCTTCGTCTACATCTCGATCGCAACAACTACGGTAGCCACCATCTTAGCCTCACACAACATTGCGAAGGTGAACACATTTATTTATATATATATATATATATGCTTCAGTTTTCAAGAACTATTTGGAAAGGTCTGATAAAAATTTGTCTTTGTAGAGAATAAGAACCACATGATTTTACCTAATTTGTCATCTGTGATTAAATCTCCAAATTCATAGAAAAACTATTGTTCTCATACAACAAAAATCCCTAATTTTTCACACCCCTAAACTGTTATAGTGATGACGAAAGTTACTGAAAAGTTCATTGTGATTTTCAGTTGGGAATGCACATTTTGAAACATGGTAGATTTGTATTCTAATTCCTTAAAATTTAGTGATAAAACAAAAAAAATAAAATAAAATAAAATAAAATTGCCCCATTTCTTTCCTCACTCAGTTATTTTTAAAAAAGATTTATGCAAGTAATGGATTGATAATAAAATGCAATTGACTACTTATATAAAATTCATGAGGAGCAGATTGAGGGAAGACCTATATAACATATCAAATATTAAACTTTCTCAGGGAAAAATTTGGGATTCATCCATTAAACTTACTTGGGAAACATATTGGGATTCAAACACAACTTATTCAGGAAAGGCTCATATCATTTCAAAGAGTAAACTTGAATCCCAATATGTGCTCTATATTGCTTGCTAGCTGTTTCTCATGTAGTGTAGCTGCAGCAATATTAAATGTTTCAATAGTCTTTACTGAGCATATAATTCATTAACTTTTCTTCATTATTTTTCACCATTGCAGGAAGATAAGGCTGATGCTATTTCCCATATGAACACCATTGTCAATTCAACAAAAGGAGATCCAGTTTTGGTTAGTTTTCTCTTTCGCCCTGTCATGAGTGCTATCTATTGATATTTTGCTTATAACTTAATCTATTTAATTGTCACTAATGTGAATAATGTTGATGTTCGAGCACTAACATCTTAAACTAAGTTTGGCTTAGTATTTGTTTTGTAGGGTATTGTTGATTTTGGGACTGAGGTGCATTGGGTTTTAAATAGGGACCATTCTTAGTATAAATAAAAAAATAAGTAAAAAAATTGTTTAATTTTTTATAAAATTTCTTTGATTATAAGTGTTATAAGAGTAGAGTTTGTATTTTTCTATTTTATGTATTTTTATGTTTTTATATTATTTTTTTTATAAAAAAATTATATTCAATTTTTTTTGTTCCTATTTCACCTTTTTAAGCTTTTGTTTGTTTCTATATATAAATTTTATTTTGTTTTTATATATAAATTCTATTATTAAAAAATTGATTTGTTTGTTCACGTAACTTTTTTTTGAGTGTCCAGTGCTTTTAATGTTTTTTTTTAATTATAAAAAAATAGTTTTTCTGAGTTTTGGCTATGGTTATTTTTTTTTTTTTTGTTACAGTTGTATAAATCACTTTGATTGTAAGTATTTTAACAGTCTTGGGTTTGTATTTTTGTATTTTGTGTGTACTAATTTAATTGTACTTTTAATTTTCTTCATTAAAAAATAAAAGGAGATGAAAAGTTTCATTATATTATCAAGTTCCTTAGGGAAAAAATTTCACTATTATTTTACTTCGTTTATATCAAAAAAAATTCAATGTAATTGTTTATATTTCTTTGTATATATCAAATCTATTTGAATATAAATATTCTAAGAATCTTGGATTTATAGTTTTTAAAAAGAATACTATTATTTTATTTTATTTATATCAAAATTATAAGTGTTATTTATTTATTTTTTTTAATAAGTTTGTGATGTGTAGTTATTTTTTTAAAAAATAATATATTTTTTATTTGCACACACATCATGTGTCCGACCGCTAGTAAGTGGTTGTTTGAGATGTCCTAAATAAATGTACTTTTTATCTTTTTAGAATAAAAAATTGAGAAAAAAAATATGGATGTTTGGGTTAACTCTTTGACTTTTTATGAGAAAATATGTATTAAAAAATTATATAAATTAGTATGTAGAAAAAAATTAAAATTGAAATTGAAAATTATGCAATCATAATTTTTGACTTTTGATAAATAATGATAATTTTTTAATTTTTTGAATAATTTTTTAACTTTTTGACATCTTACCAAACTTGTCCTAAGATTAATGGGTGGTTAACTTGACCTATGTTTACCACCAGGAAACTTCCTACTATTTCTTTCCTCCCAGCACAATCTGTGCCTCGCTCTCTCTCTCTCACTTCTCCACCGCGACCACAGCAGAAACTTTGCCTCTTCCTTTTCATCGACACCCACACTCCTCACCACCGTCGCTGCTCTTCCCTCCTTAGCGACCCTTCGTCTACATCTCGATCGCAACAACTACGGTAGCCACCATCTTAGCCTCACACAACATTGCGAAGGTGAACACATTTATTTATATATATATATATATATGCTTCAGTTTTCAAGAACTATTTGGAAAGGTCTGATAAAAATTTGTCTTTGTAGAGAATAAGAACCACATGATTTTACCTAATTTGTCATCTGTGATTGAATCTCCAAATTCATAGAAAAACTATTGTTCTCATACAACAAAAATCCCTAATTTTTCACACCCCTAAACTGTTATAGTGATGACGAAAGTTACTGAAAAGTTCATTGTGATTTTCAGTTGGGAATGCACATTTTGAAACATGGTAGATTTGTATTCTAATTCCTTAAATTTAGTGATAATAAAAAAAAAAAAAAAAAAATTGCCCCCTTTCTTTCCTCACTCAGTTCTTTTTAAAAAGGATTTATGCAAGTAATGGATTGATAATAAAATGCAATTGACTACTTATATAAAATTCATGAGGAGCAGATTGAGGGAAGACCTATATAACATATCAAATATTAAACTTTCTCAGGGAAAAATTTGGGATTCATCCATTAAACTTACTTGGGAAACATATTGGGATTCAAACACAACTTATTCAGGAAAGGCTCATATCATTTCAAAGAGTAAACTTGAATCCCAATATGTGCTCTATATTGCTTGCTAGCTGTTTCTCATGTAGTGTAGCTGCAGCAATATTAAATGTTTCAATAGTCTTTACTGAGCATATAATTCATTAACTTTTCTTCATTATTTTTCACCATTGCAGGAAGATAAGGCTGATGCTATTTCCCATATGAACACCATTGTCAATTCAACAAAAGGAGATCCAGTTTTGGTTAGTTTTCTCTTTCGCCCTGTCATGAGTGCTATCTATTGATATTTTGCTTATAACTTAATCTATTTAATTGTCACTAATGTGAATAATGTTGATGTTCGAGCACTAACATCTTAAACTAAGTTTGGCTTAGTATTTGTTTTGTAGGGTATTGTTGATTTTGGGACTGAGGTGCATTGGGTTTTAAATAGGGACCATTCTTAGTATAAATAAAAAAATAAGTAAAAAAATTGTTTAATTTTTTATAAAATTTCTTTGATTATAAGTGTTATAAGAGTAGAGTTTGTATTTTTCTATTTTATGTATTTTTATGTTTTTATATTATTTTTTTTATAAAAAAATTATATTCAATTTTTTTTGTTCCTATTTCACCTTTTTAAGCTTTTGTTTGTTTCTATATATAAATTTTATTTTGTTTTTATATATAAATTCTATTATTAAAAAATTGATTTGTTTGTTCACGTAACTTTTTTTTGAGTGTCCAGTGCTTTTAATGTTTTTTTTTAATTATAAAAAAATAGTTTTTCTGAGTTTTGGCTATGGTTATTTTTTTTTTTTTTGTTACAGTTGTATAAATCACTTTGATTGTAAGTATTTTAACAGTCTTGGGTTTGTATTTTTGTATTTTGTGTGTACTAATTTAATTGTACTTTTAATTTTCTTCATTAAAAAATAAAAGGAGATGAAAAGTTTCATTATATTATCAAGTTCCTTAGGGAAAAAATTTCACTATTATTTTACTTCGTTTATATCAAAAAAAATTCAATGTAATTGTTTATATTTCTTTGTATATATCAAATCTATTTGAATATAAATATTCTAAGAATCTTGGATTTATAGTTTTTAAAAAGAATACTATTATTTTATTTTATTTATATCAAAATTATAAGTGTTATTTATTTATTTTTTTTAATAAGTTTGTGATGTGTAGTTATTTTTTTAAAAAATAATAT